TTGAAGATCAAACCCAGGGCCTAAGGCATACTAACTAAGCATTCTACCAGCTGAACCACATCTCCAGCCCCTCCTTTTGTCTTGTTTGTCAGGTTCATGAGGACACAGGTGCTGTGGAGGCACAGTTGTGGTGCACAGTAGGCACTCAGGAAATCTGTGCTGAGTAGAGAAATCAACTCTGCTGGGAATAAAGTGTCATATCCCCTTTAAACTTGAGAAAAAGAAGCTCAAAGAATCGGTGGGAAATGCATCCAGCATCCTAGAACCACAGAACTTAGGTGCAAAAATAGTCAGGATGGGTTGGGGTTTGCTGCAGCAAGAAATGAGCCTAACCTCAGTAGCTCACACCAGTTGCAACCTGTTTCTCGCTTATACCCAGTGACTCACGGGCAGGCTTCTGTCTTCTCCACACAGCATCACCGGGCATGGTGATAGAGCAGCCTCTATCAGAGAGAGCACTGTTGATCTCCCGGCAGAGGAGAAGGGAGCCCATAGCCAGCCACCCACACGGGCTCTCAATCTGTTTGGAGGCAGCACACCTGACTTTGATTCACATTGACAGAAGCAAGCAGGACTCAAGTTACACATCGTCAGTGGGAATATAAAATGGAGCCACTTCTCTGGAAAACACTGTGGCAGTTCCTTAGAAAGTTAATCATGGAATTACCATAGAAGCCAGCAATGGCACTCCTAGATATATCCCCAAAGGAACTGAAGACACTTAACATCATTGTTCAGAGTAGTATTAATTATGAAAGGTGAAAAGCTCCCAAATGCCTATCACCGGATAAATGGGTAAAGAAAACATGGTCTGGGACTGGAGATATGACTCAGCAGCTAAGAGCACTGGCTGCTCTTACAGAGGACCCGAGTTCATGTCCCAGCACCCACATGGTAGCTAACAACCATCTGTAACTCCAGTTCCAGGGATTCTATGCCCTCTTCTAACCTCCGAGGGCACTGTACACCATGCGTGCACTTAACATATATGCAGGCAAAACACTCATACACATAAAATAAAAAATAATAACATATTTCTTAAAAAGAAAACATGGTCTGGGACTGGAGATATGACTCAGCAGCTAAGAGCACTGGCTGCTCTTACAGAGGACCCGAGTTCATGTCCCAGCACCCACATGGTAGCTAACAACCATCTGTAACTCCAGTTCCAGGGATTCAATGCCCTCTTCTAACCTCCGAGGGCACTGTACAACATGCGTGCACTTAACATATATGCAGGCAAAACACTCATACACATAAAATAAAAAATAATAACATATTTCTTAAAAAGAAAACATGGTCCATCCCTACAATAGAAAATTATCCAGTCTTAGGAACAATGAAATTCTGAAAAACACTACAATATGAGCAAACCATGTATGGCAACATACTTATACCATGTTGTCTATAATAAATAAGTTAGACCTATAAAAGGTCAGACACATACAAATTGTGTGAAGTATTCAGATTAGCCAAATTTGTAAGACAGAAAGTAGGGTGACCAGAGGTTAGAGAGAGGGAGGAACATGAAGCTATTTCTTGTAGGTAGCATTTGTTTGGAGAAATGAAAACTGTGGATACAGATGTTGGTAAAGGCTGCACAACATTGTGAATAGTCTTAATGCCAATGAACTGTGCACTTGTATATGGATAAAGTAGGGGTCTGAGGGTATATCCCAGTGGTAGAGTGCTTGCCTAGCATGTGCAAGGTTCTAAGTTTTATACCCAGCATTGAAAAAAAAAAAAGTGGCAAATTGTATGTATATTTTAACCACAGTAAAGAATTAAACAAAAAAGGGATTTATCCTCCTGGGTTCCATGGTACCAGGAGCTTTACTTGATCAGAACCTAAGGAGTCCAGCAGTATAATATGCCTTTGTCTCCTTGGCCTCTATATGGGCTGTGTGCTCCCTGACCACTGGCTGTGCCTACAACAGTACCTGGCACAGTTAGGCTGTTAATATACGCTTTGTCTTAATAGAAAAGAGAGTTGATGCCTCTCCTCATACATGCTTGCAAGTCTGTACATGCACAGTATGCCTCAGTGTACAGTGTGCTTCATGGAGAGCTGTGTGCCCTGGGGAACACCACATGCACCCAACAGCCGAAAACAGCCAGTGCAAAGGAAGGTTTAGCAAGGAATTGCAATCCCTCATCATTCCTCAGTTTCTTCAAGACATTTGCTCTGAGGCAGATTGGGATAGAGACAGCACAGGTCATGGAAGGTACCAGAAGCATGGTCACTAATAGAAGGGACAGTACTGAATGGACTGCAAGGCTCAGAGCAATTTCCATGCATCTTCCTGCAAATGCCAGGCTACCCAGAGTTCCAGAACAGATCCTTCCTGCAAAGGTAGGACTACCCAAGGTTCCAGAGTAGATACTTCTGTAGCAGAACAAAAGCCTCCTTTTCATCAATGGGAGAGTTGACCTGTGGCTTAGAAGATTTGACCTCATCACATCAGGGGGTTGAGTCTGGTTTGCCTGACAATTTTCCCCAAGGAAGCTCTAGGGCTACTTTCCTTCAATCAGCCACCACCCCTCTTGAAGCTCTATCTCCATGAAAACTCTGGTCATTGTTTTAGGCATTCAATATACAATAAAGAAAATGTTGATGAAAGTAACAGCTCTCACTGCAAAGGAATAAAAGAGATGGTTTATTCTGGAGCCAAATATGAGTGACACAGCCCAGGAACACAGATTTAGGTTTTCCCAAATACCATGTTCCAGGCAATTTCATGAACTTTTTATAGTAACAGAACAAAGAAAATCATAAACTAACACACTTTCAAATACATTGATGGGTACATTTGGTAGGTGAGTTACAGCAAAGCAGGCCTCAGATGCTAGCAGATGACATTCTTAGCCTTTTGGTTGGTGGAAAATTTCACTAATACGTTCCAAAGATTTTTAATCTGTTAATCACAGGATGTCAGATCAAACACAGAGGTGGACAAGGAATAGTTATTTAGGGGGCTAAAGATAGCCCAAGATAAATTGTAAATAGTCTCTGGACCTGCAACATTCCAAACTCTCCACCAATCATTGAAGTTCTAATCAGTTGATCAGCCTTGCAGGAAGTTCAGTTGAAGATGCAGGTTTTTTTCTGGGAACTTTCATTCAACTATGAATACAAAAACATCCACAGTCTCACCAAACATCTGAGGCTGAGGTTAGAAGCAAAGATAGTAGGTTCACACGCTATTATTATACTTTTCTTTTTTTTTTTTTTTTTTTTTTTTTTTTAGTGAATCAATTGAAAGGGAAAAAACAAGGGTTTGCTGCAGATGTAAAAATAACAAG